TTCTTTTTTTTCATATTATAGGAATATCTTTTCTTGCCATTCTAGGTTTTATTATATTAAAAAATTACAAATATTTTTCAGGAAACACAAACATTAAGTCGCACCATCAATCTGAAACGTACATCGAAAAACGCAAGAAAATGTGAGTTCTTAGTTTATCACTTTAGATTAAACAATTTCTTGAAATTTTAACGCGTAAGTTTTCGGTGATTTTTTATTATTTTCTTTTTTTTTTCATATTATAGGAATATTAAATATTTTCTTGCCAGTATTAGTTTTACGTATATAAAAAAATTACAAATATTTTTCAGAAAACATTAAGTCGCACGATCAATCTGTTTAACTGCTTGGATAAAAAGAATTCTCGTTCACCACCTCCCCTATAATCTCGTAACTTGCGGATTATCGAATCAACATTAAGGCATGCCTGAGTCAGATTAGATTCCACCTAGGTGGCCACCAACTTCGAAACGTTACGATCAAGTATTAAACGCGTTATCATCACATCCCCCCCCTCTCCTCTCCTCCTTTCCTAATTCCAGCATCCCGAATCTCATCAAAATTATCGGCACCCCCCGTAGTGTCTTTCCTTACGTTTAATTAAAGACTACAAGATTAATTAAGTGATTCAATTAACTGGATACAACGTGCACCTGTGTGAAGAAACAGTCACCTCCCTTCTCTCTCTCTCTCTCTCTCTCTCGTCTCTTTTGCTATCTCTCCCTCCCCCCATCCTTCTCGCAGAGACAAAGACGATCGTCTCCTCGAATCGATCGATATCCAAATTTAAATTCCAACAATTGATGTGCAAGATCTATCAAGAAGGCCTGTATCTAAGATGCGTTATTACTTCTTTCTATTGTTTAAAGACTGGAAACGTTTGGGATATTTTATTCAACGAGAGATCGATTATTATGATGACACGTTATGATGATCTTAGCATTTAATGCTGTTCGTTTACATTCTGCGCCATTTTATTGGTGAGGGAACAGCAGAGATATCATATCCAGCGATACATTAGTTTCAAAGTTTTATTGGTGTGGAAAGAAGTGTGACAAGAGGTGTGATCCTTCGTTGCATAGTAGTAGGAAGTAGTAGGAGGTATAATTTGAATATTCAAAATCATTGAAAATTATTTTCATTTTCATGAAAATTACGTTATTAGGATAATCTAATCAAGATTGGAAGCTTGGAAATATTTTCTATAACTGCCTAGCTTATACGTACATAATTATTATCTTAACTATTATATCTTCGAATTAGAAAATTACGTTTATATTAATTGAACTGAATCAAATTGCAAATAATTAGCTTATTACGAAAGATGAAAAGATTTTTTATATCATATCAATACGAATTCCCATTGCCTGTGTTAATGCATCGAGGTTTTTGGAACGTGAAAAACAATACATTCGAGTAATTACGTCGAGTGAACGTCTCAAGGATTTCTTATATAGATCATCCTTATCTCAAATAGTAATGCAAATAAGCTGATACAAGTATTGCATGTTGTTTTGCCATTTATTTGTATCAAAAGAAACAAAAAAAGAAAAGAAAAGAAAAACCATATCCACCATCTATTCGAATGAATAGATTGGATTCAATCTATTGAAAAATTCCAAATTCTCTAAAGAGATTTGACTATTTTTTTCTTTTCTTTTTTTTAGAAAAACATATTCGAGCATTTCATAATAGAAATGAGAAAGTTAAATAACGCAAAAAAAAAGAGAGAGAGAGAAAAGAGGAGAAGGTTGTTAAATATATCTCGGAAAGGGGGCGAGGATAAAATTGAATGCATTTACATTAAGCGACTTAACGTGATTCACGGGCACAGTTCTCGGCGAAAGAGCACCCGTTTCGTTCTCGAACTCGGAACGAGGCGAGTTACGTTTCGCCCCGTTTTGCATCCCGCCTTTATAAACACTCGCCTAACGACAATTGTTATCGCGTCGAGAATACCCCCCGGCCGTTTCGAAAGAATGCGATCGGGCCGGGAATGGGAGCGGCGTTTCGGGAAGAGGGCACGATAAAATCACGGTGAATCCTCTTAATTGCCGAACGGCCGCTTTCCAAAGCGAGAATCGTTTGTAATTTGCCACCACTAGTTGCTGCTCGTCGTTGGATGGGGTAGAAACTCGCGCTCGGAATCGTACAGAAATTTTCTTTTTTTAAGCAATTTCCTACATTGTACGATTAATAATAATTTATTGTTGAAGAAATTACACTTTTGCGTAATATAATTAAAGTTAGAAGAACTCTGTGAGATAATCTCTATAAATATAGGCAATAGAAGAATTTTTAAAGATATATAATATAATAAAATAATAATTTATTATGCAAGAAATTATACTTTTGCGTAAAATAACGAAGGTTAGAAGAACTTTATGAGATACGATAATCTCTATAAATACGAACAATGGAAGAATTTTTAAAGGTATATAATATAATAAAGTAATAATAATTTATTATGAAAAAAATCAAATTTTTGCGTGAAACAATGAAAGTTAAAAGAATTCTATGAGGCGCGATAAATACAGACAATAGAAAAAATTTTAAAGGTAATAATGTAATAAAATAATAATAATAACTTATTATTGAAGAAATTACACTTCTGCGTAATATAACAAAGATTAGAAAAATTCTATGAGATGAGATAATCTCTGTACTGTAAATACTGACAATTTTTAAAGATACATAAC